ATTGGTCAAGTCTAATTGATTGCTTTGTGTAGAAGCAATTTGTGCGTCTGAGGACTGACCTCATTCACCTAAGTGAGTCAGTCTGGAAACTTACTAACTTCTTAGAAAGAAGAAGATAAATACCACTTATACTGCTCTGATCCATTATGCATTTCTGCTGCTATGGGAAATTTATATTAAATACAAAAAAAGTTCATAAAGCTTTTTGTTAGACATTATCCATGGCAGGGACAAGGGTTACTAGCAGCAGCCACCACTGTGGTATTATGTCCTGTATTAGGTATTGTTCTTGTCAGTGATGGTACTGGTGGCCTGCATACGTTTTGGAGCTAGTTTGTGTATTGCTAGTGGAAAACATAACGCAGTTTGAGAACTCCCAGTATAGACTATGTTAACAGTTGGATCTTGTGGCATACTTGGACCTTAAAGATACTGCTTCCAAGATGTTCAGAAACAGAGTGGGCCTTAACCAGGCAATCTAGAAACACAGATTAATAGTATTATTGTCGTTTGCAGATTTCAAGGAAAACAATCTTCTAATAAGAGTGGAAAAAATACATTAAAATATTACTTTAAAAGTTAGTCTGTAAGTTAATCAATAGCAATCAAGTTGAAAATGAAAGTTAATTTAAAAGTTTTTCAAAACTGTAAGCAAAAAGTTAACATGTCTGAATGAAGGGAATGTCATTAACTTGAAGAATCCTTTTCCTGTCTAAAAATTCACCCTATGTATGTCTAAGTCAAAAACATAGTTCCTACTTTTTACTTTAGTTTCTACTGAAAAGTTAGGGATTTTCTTACAAATTTGATTTCCTTCATTGTGCGTGTGGGAACCTGTATAATCATTAGAAGAACAGGAAAACATCTGTAATTTTAGTTGCAGCTTAGCTTTTTACTGGAACCAGACTTTAAGAATTGCTGTTTAAAGTAATTGCTTTGGAAAGAAACTGAGCCTAGCAATACATTGGTAATACCTTGACATTTCCATGTAATTAGAAGCATTTTCTTAAAAAGTTTTCCTCTGAGAACTTTTAAAGATTTTATCATTTAATAGTAATGTAATTCCTATTGTTTTTCTTGCATTTGTAAAGAAAAGGGCAGATTTGGGGAGGTAATGGAGTTTATGTAATCAGCTAGTCTGCTTTTCAGAGAAGAAACGAACTGTTCCCTGGCTTTCTACTGAAGTATAATTTACTTAACAACTTCGCATGTCCAAGTTTTGTAGTAATTCATGAACTTTTAATGTATCTCAAGATGTATTTGTTTCCAGTCTAGCAACAAAGTTATACTAATACATCTTTGCCTACATTTTGAAAAAGATGTGACAAGTGTCTTACCTTTCTGTTGCTTCTTAGAGACAGCATATGTACATGTGTAGATTTTTCACTTCACTGACAAGAAATAATATGGTGCAACAGCACTTTGGTTTTGTTCAACCTTTGTACCTGATGAATAAGCAGGCAGCATAAAAAAATAATAAACCTAGAAAATCCTTAGCAAAAGATTGACTAGGTTGAGCAACTTCTTATAATCATCCTGGATTTAATTGGATCTGCAGCCAATAGGGAAGTCTAATAGTAGTATGCTCAAGTGTCAAGTTCCAGGTCACATAGGAAGCACTGAGTTAAAATGCCACCGGGAATTTACAAGCAAGTTGGGTTATAATCAATTAAAGAAATGCTGGAGACAGAAAAAGACTTGCATTTTTTATGTGATCAGTCATCAAATGAAGAAAATTTCAAAATATTTGCATACTAAAGTAAAGATCTCTAGTAGTTAGTTAAATCTGTGTTAAATTCTTGTGTTTTGTAAACATAAGCATCAGAGGAGCTGCAGGGTGTGATATATAAAGCTCATTATTTAAAAAGAATTACAAGCACTTAAGGATATCTGTTACATGGGCTATATTTTACGAAGAAATTCTAAAAACAAATGATACTTGCTCTCATTTGAGAGCATGTCTATATGCAGGTTGAAAAACGGATTATATTGGTACAGAAACACTGCGTCCAATAATTTTTTTCTTGCATTGGTGCTCATTCTCTAAGCCTCATTCTGTCCAATGCACAGCATCAAACTATAAAATGGTTCAGTCTGCCCTCATTCTCCATTCCTCTCAAATATGTGGTTGTAGAAACCATTTTACTTCACTATCCCTCTTTGATGTTATTGCCACTTTGATTTTTTGCTTAATATCTCAGAACATTCTGCAAGTTTTCCAAGCCTCATCCCTCATTCAGCTTCATCAGTAGTCTTCAAATTACTTCGGGTAATGAATTCTCTTCCTGTGACAGCCATTGCTGATACTCTTACTGCCTCTTAGAAGATCACTGAGTTTTAACCGTCTGTAAAAAGGTTTCTATCAGAGAAGATGCATCACAGCTAAGTCAGACATTTCTAGTCTCAAGGACATACTGGATCACCTTGAAGTATTTAGCCAGGAGTCCATATCACACAAGATAAAGAGACTTGCCTCAGGTAAAGAGGCTGCTCTGTAATATGTCTACACTCACTTTACATCGGTGGGGCTGGAAAAGTAGGCTTTCTTTCCTTACTCTGCCATGCCTACTTGCAGTCTCGGGCATAGATGAGAGAAATACAGTAAAGCTTGGAGACACCACTGCCCTCAACAGTGGCAGCTGCTTCCACATGGTGTTTTGGAACACAGGAGAAGTGTAGCAAGTGGTATTCTTTTCTCCCTCCCTAAATGCCCAGTGATCTCCAGGAAAAGGCACCCTGTTTGTTCTTAAAGACAAGCTCCCTATGATCAGTACTGACAGTCTCTCCAGCTGAATTACATCTAGTGTGGAGATTTATTCTGGAAATCAGCAACCTTAACATTTTCTTGAATTCTTCATTGCAATTTCTCTGTTTTCTTTCTGTCATGTCTTCAGTTGGGCTTGATTTGAGAGAAACTGTCACTGCTGAGACCTTGCAACAGCTTTCATAGGCCCAGATTGAGGGATGAGGAGCCTCCAGTAGAGAAGTAACGTGAAAGCTCCCTGCCACCTCCCAGTTCTGTGCCTTCTAGAGGGTCTTGAATCAAACTACTCTCATAGCTTAAGAACATGCTTCACTTAAAAAAATTACTCCTTTCCACTACCAAGTGTAATATAATTATCCATTCATAAACTGGTGTAGTTACAGTGAGGGCCTCATTCTTTGGACTGGGTCTGAACAAACCATTTTTACTCTCAAGAGGGTGTTCCATTTAATGTCATGTTACAACCAGCCAGTATTTCTTGGGCAGTCCCAGTGCACTCCAAATTTGCCACAGAAAGTGGAAGATCATCACTTCGATTTGTTTCCTCATCATCAGGCTCCAAAGCATGTTTGCAGCATGGGTTGCTAATCTGACAGAATTTCTACTTAATGTCCTCAGGTTCCTGGAGATTATAGATCTTTCTTGAAGCCAGTTGGGAGACTGGTTACACTGTTGAATCTCTTCTGAGAATTCCTCAGAAGTGGTGAAAACTATGAGGAAAGGCCAGGGGAGCTGGAATTGTTTAATCTCTAGAAGAGAAGGCTTAGGTGGGTATCTTACCAAAGTAAATACCTGATGGGCAGGAGTAAAGAAAATGGAGCTGTGGAGCTGGTCTCTTCTCAGTGATGCCCAAGGGCAGGACAAGAGACAAATGGCCACAAATTAGAGAACAGGAAATTCCATGTAAATGTAAGAAAAAACTCTTTTTACTGTAAGAGTGGCCAAATTTCAAAACATTGCCCAGACAGGTTGTGGGGTCTCCATCCTTCAAGATACTCAAAAACTGCCTGAACAAGACCCTGACAACCTGCTCCAGGTGACCGTGCTTTGAGTAGTGGGGCTGGACTAGATGACCTTCAGAAGTCCATTCCAACATCAGCTCTACTCTGATTCTATCACATTTTCATTATTCCCTTACCCTGAGATTGTCTTTGTTTAGTTCCACAATTCTGCATCATCTATTAAGCCTGAGGGCATTCTTGGCTGCAGTCATTGATCTAATAGTGTCAGTTACACAATTTAAAATTTTAGGCATCTTGCAACTCAGGAAGAGTTAGTGAAAAATAGAAGAAAAATAAATCCTGAAGGAAGGTATCCAGCTGATTTTGTCATTCTTAATAGCAGAAGTTACTGTGGAAACAAGCAAACAGTTTAAACAATTTTTCATGAACTGTGAAGGGAAGGAAGGTATACTCTTCAGGGTCTCAGGATTTTTTGGTAATTTCCTTTAGCTATGTTCTCAAATTGGCTCTCTAGCTTTCAGGAATTTCATAAAAATTACCAGATGTTATATGCCTCACTTATATATATATAAGTGAGAACAACTCTTTATGCCTTCCTTGAATCTGCTAATACATTTGCTTGTAGTTCACTATAGCTGCAGTGGTAGAGAAGGTTTTATGGTTGTAGCCCATTGATTTCCTAACAAGATTAAAGTCATGAATCAAGAATGCCAGGAATGGCTAATTTCTTAGTTCTTGCATGGTTAAGAAGCTCTACTCTGCCTAAGACGCTGAAGCCACACTCCATTCTTAAGGAATCCAACAATTCATTGCTAAAGGAAAGTCGTCTTATCATCACTATCCATACCATCAGCTCCTGGTATCTATACATTTTCTTTATGTGCATTCACAAATCACATACCAGCTTCTTTATTTCAAACTGCCTGTTCTTATTGCAGGAATTCACTGCTTGGGAGCAACTGAGAGGGAGTAGTATACTTTTGCCAGTGTTGGAAACTATGCAGGTAGACAGGGTGGGAGTGTTGGAAAGTACTATGTGGCTACTGTAAGGGCAACGAGTTATTCATCTTCCGCATTCCATGGTATGAATGTTTCTATAGCTAATCCAGTTCCAAGAAGATTAGATGCAAGTAGGTAACTCCATTTTTTAGAGCCTGTGGAGTTTTTGTGTTAAAGGATCATTTCAGCGAGGCTGAAGGAATACCAGAGTTTGAAATGGGTGCTTAAAATAAACATCAACTAGTAAAAGTTACGAAAACGTTCTGTTTTTACAGCACAGAAAAGTTAATTCAAGGTGTTGAAGAAGATATCGAACGTGAAAAGGTTGTAGCAGATGACATAATAAAAGACATGTCGCAGGAAGATCAAGCTAAATATATGGAGATGAAGGCTGCAAATGAAAAACTCTCCCAGGTTGGTTTGTTTCATTGTACTTACCTAAAATGTTTCTCAATCTGGCTCCATTGGTTCCAGATACAATTTAAATAGTAAAGAGCTTGAGAACAGAGTAATACAATAAAAAAGCTTGCTGATACCTTAATCAGTTGTAGAAGTGCCTGAAAAATAAATAAAGCAATTGACTAAAACCAGGTACTTTGTCTTTTTGTATTTCTTATTTTTAGAACAAATGATGCTCATAGTTTTCCTTTTAAATTTGGGGACTGACATGCAGATTTTAAAAGCCTCTGTAGTGCTTAGATGTTTCATCATGTGTAAAAAGCAAGCAAAAGGGAAAACCAACCCCAGCAATTTTTTTAGTTCACTTGAGTAGAAAGTTTTCTTCCTGTGTACAAAACTGAATCTGACTGGGTTTTTTTGTTTTTCTTGTTGTACGTCCGAATGTATCAGAAAAATGAACTGGGCTTTGTAAAATTTTTGTGACTTCACTTATCCTAATGTTAACAAAAGCAATAAGATTTCTAAGTTCTCTGGGATCATCTAGCTTCAGGCATACAGTCTTAGAAAGTTTCTCTGTATAGTCTGTACAGAGAGGTAGGCATCTTTTGAGGCCAGTGCTTCCCAGCTGTCTTAGGATGAGCTGAATCACTAGTCAGGGCCTACCTGTCTCTTTCTGGACTATGAAGAAACTGTGGTGGCTAGTTCAGATTTTAAAATCTGACTTTACACTTCTGAAGTAGAAATGATAAATTCCACACGCAGTACTGATTTTAAGAAAAATAGTGGAAAAAGGGCAAGCAATTTTTTGGTTATAACTCAACTGCAAGTAACAATGATAAGAGTTTATTGGAAAAGTTGGATGCTGAAAGTAAGTGAGTATTATATCTGAGTTACTTGGAGAAGCTGGAGTCTTGTCTTTTACATTTTTAAGAGCAACAATGAGATGTTTTACAGCATTTTATACTATTAAGTTGCAGGAAAAAAAGTAATCTCATCAAGTAACTTTTGTCTGAATTTTGCATTTTTTTCTTCTTTAGGAATTGGTTGTTCAACAACAGGAATTGGACGCACTAAATGTAAAGGAGGAGGCTCTAAGAGCTGTATGTATGATAACAAGTGATCTCTGTACCAATCTTTGCTGAACTCTAGTGTAAAAAATAATACAGTAGAAAAATACCTATAATCTTTCTCCTTAAATTTTCAGATACTGTAGGAACATCGCCTAGAATGGGAAGGCAAAGCTGCCTCTGTTTTCCACCAATAATTTCTAATCAGTTGTGGGTAAAAATTGTTTTTGCTAGATGCCAAGTACAAAATTTTGATAGCAATAATGAGGTTTCCTAGCTTTAGTTACTCATGTGGTTTCAAATGTTTTGTGGGACGTTTGATTGATTTGGAATTACTCACTGAAGATAAACGTTAAATTATCATTCACATCCTTCTTAAGGATTTGAGAGACATAATTTTTCAGTATGTTTTCAACTTTCAGGATGTGTGAGAATTATTTTCTTGTTCCACATTTCACTTCAAAAGCAACTGGCATTTGAAATACAAAGTGGTACCTGCTAAGATATTTTTTATCCCACATACATACATAAACACACACTTCTAATACACTGTCATATTGCTGGATTGAGGAGAATTTTCTCATATTGGGTCTTTCATGGATAAAAGGATCTATGAGCTGAAACATACAGTCATGTATATATTCAGAAACTATAATTTTTCAAATACTACTAGACATTTTTCCAGTCCTTTTGAATACTGTATATGGTTTGTGATCCCCTGGAAATGATGAAGTAGTTAATCTACTCAGAAAATTGGCCTGAGGATGAACTCATAAAGCAAGAAGTAGCTAACTGGGATATTCCATTTCAGAAAATGCAATATTGAGAATATGGATTATAAAGTTTATTGTTTATACTCTCTCTTTACTGTTTGTAACAAATAAGCTTCACTTTCAATGTATAGATAAGTGTTGCTTAACTAAATCATAATTTCTGCAATGCTCTCTTGCCATCTGGAAATAGCTAGTAGGTGTTTGCTTTTCCCAACAGGAAATAGCACACTCTCAGGTGAAACAGGAGGCTGTGCAGCTGTATGAAAAGCTCCATGAGCTCGAGGAACGTCGAGATCAAATGATTGCTGAGGATAAGAACATGGAATCTCCACAGGAAGAAAGAGAAAGATTACTAAAGCAGGCAAGAACATAAAACGTTATCATGTAAAAGATTCTCTGAGTCAGTATTTTAAGGGATTTGAAAATACTTGGGTTTGTATCTTGCCTTTATTTGCTCTTTAAGAAGCACATACATTCTGAAATTAGGAATGGCTGGATGTTAATGAATTGGCTGGATGGGATGTTTCAGGTTCAGCCAAAGCGAAATTGGCATAGTCAGCTTTTCAGCTGGTTGACTTGTTCCAAGTCATCAGTCGTGCTGGTATGGGAAAACTGATCCTGTTGAACAGTTCTATAACATAAATACAGACAATACCCTTGTGGGATACTGAGCAGACATACTAATTCAGGAACAACTTACTTAGTTTACAAGGGTCTATGTTGTGTTAGGTAACTCTCCATTTATACTATATGGACTATTGGACTGAACAACACTGATAAGCATGTCTGATTTTTAAATGTGTATTGAGAAAGCAGGAGAACATTTGGAAGACATAACACTTAAAACATGTTACTTCTCTTCAATGAAGAGCCGTCGTTAGACAATGTGACAGCAAGTTTGTGATTTCATATGCTGAGTTTCTGTTCCCTGTATACTGAATTAAGAAATCTTTTTTGATTTTCCCTTTTTCATTTGTAGATTTTATTTCATATGTTAAAGTTGTTATACTTTTTTATAGGTTAAGGACGATAGTCAAGAAATAGCAAGCATGGAAAGACAGTGAGTAATCCCATTATACTGTTGCTACAAATTACATTTAGACCCTAAAGACAGATAGTTGAATTCCATCACATATTTCTATGGACTCTTAGAATATCACCACATTTTTGAGCCTCTGGTGGTGTTAACCTTCCACAGAGAACAGAATATATCCTTCTGTTTCAGCTAAACAACTTTATGGTGATAGGACGTTTAGATCTGCATAAAAAGATACTTCCTATCCTTATGAACATGCCTTGAGAATATAAATTGGTAATAGCACTGACATAAACTTCTTTAAGGCTGAAGAAGACATTCATCTGTAAGAATCTCTGGTCCGGTGCCTGGAGCACTTCCTCCTCCTCCGTCTTCTCCTCATTGACTGTGGTGTCTGTATGGTTGTTTCTCTCACATATTCTCACTCCTCTCTCCCAGCTGCTGTTGCACAGTGGTTTTTACCCTTTTTTAAATATGTTATCACAGAGGTGCTACCAATGTTGCTGATGGGCTCAGGTTCAGCCAGCAGCGGGTCTGTCTTGGCGCCAGCTGGCATTGGCTCTATCTGACATGGGGACAGCTCCTGATATCTTCTCACAGACGCTGTCCCTGCAGTCCCCCCACCACTACTAAAAACTTACCACTTACCACTTAGTGAGCTGCTCATCTGGGACGTGTATGAAGTTGAGCCCACATTACGCTGCAGTCACATTTTGAAGAGTTTGTTCGTTATGTGTTCTTAAAACCCAAGAGTTACGAAGTTGCTTACAGAAAGTTCAATTCTAAAGAGTAACAGGACATTGCTTCTTGATTCTTGGGTACTGGACCTTTCTGAAGATTTGCCAGAAACTCTGGTAAATGTTATAATAATTAGTAATGTGTTGGGGGGGGAAGATAAAACAGTACAATATTTTTGTGATTTTAAGACTTCTGATTTCCCTTTCTTTACAGAAAAATTGAGCTAATTCCTGAAATCTCCTAGAAACAATTTTAAATTCTTTTAAGCAGTATTCCCAACTCTAATTATTGGTTAATTTTTAATGCATTGACACCTTTGATTAGATAATAAGTTGATTAACAGAATTTTTGGAAAGAAACAATAGCAGAGAATTATATTTGAGAATTTACATAGAAATGTTTTTAAGGTAATTTCCTTTCTCACTTCAATTGGTTATGTAATACAGTGTTTTACTTGGCAATTTCTTAATGGATTTTAGTGAACACATAGGTAATTTTTAAGGAATACAGTTCCTTGTTGCATTTACCAATTAAGTTGTACCTCTGCAAAGCTGTATACCAACCAGCAGAGGGACCAGCTGAGTAAGTTAAGAACTACTGGTGACTCAACAAAAAATATTTTTAATGAAAAATAGCAGCAGTTCTTATATTTAATAGATACAGGGACTAAAGTGACAGGTGCTTTACATATACCTTTTATAATAACAGCAATCCTGATATTCTTTTGGTTTTGATAAACTTAGGTTTGCTATTTTTATTCTTGATTTTTCTCTCAATTTTTTTCTAAAAAAAGTAGGTATTTTACAACACATTTTTAACCTTGGATTTAATTATCTATTTGTCAGGTTGACAGAAGTAAAAGAAAAAACAAACCATTTTAAAAAGGTTATTCAACGACTTGATATGGATCTGGAGAATCATCAAGGTAATATCACTAGAGTTGTAGCAGACTATGCAGAGCTGCATCTGTTCGTATTATAACACGTATTGTTATGGACATTAGTTGCTTGAAACTTTTAGGCTTATGCAAATGTCCATTATTCACCATCAGAAGAAGGTTTTGTGTCTAAGGGTGCAGGCTTCTCTTTTCAGATGTGAGAAATGGGGAGTACCCACCCTTAGTTGTGTGTTCATCAAGTTCATATTGAGTAGTAAAACTACCACATAAAATAATAGTACAGCTGTCTGGGTTGTGTCCCAATTTTATTTTTAGGACTACTGGAGGAATAGTTTGTCTTACTGGCAGCATTGCAGGACCAGCTCAGCTTTAGAAAAGTTTTTATTTTTCCTTTTACATGATCTTATACACTGTCAGTGAATGTGGAATTGAGAATGTTTAATAATAATGTGTAAAGCAGACAGAATTCAGTACTATTTTTATGTGTCTTTGAAACTTCTTGGGTTGATCGTTGCAAGAAGAGTTTGGGAGCTGCCTAGCAATGGCATTAGCTTAGAAACTTACCTCCAGCAAACACCTGCTGTGGCACATTAGGCTAGGTTAGGTTGTGATTTGTCCTAGCACTGGAAGTTATGGTTCTGGAGGAGGTAACTTAGTTTGAGCATAGGCCCTCAACAGCTGTGGAGGATTCTCCTTAAAATGGAAATTCATCTCACAGAAAACCTCCTTCTAGTTATAAGGAATCTTGTTTAGATAGGAGTTACATAAATATGTGCATACATTCTGGAAAACCTTGTAACAGGTTATTTAAATTCTATAGGACTGATGAATTAATATGTTGATGTCCTTTTTACTTTATACCTTTTCTCGGGCAATCAGTGTAAAATTTAGCTGTAAATTCCTTCAAGGTGAACAAATATTTCTAAAATTGACCCTAAACAAATGTTTGATACATCTGTTTCTCATTTTTTGCATTACAAAATATTTCATATTTCTCCAGATACTTTTGTGCAAATAATTGATTAAAACTGTTTTATTAGCTTTCTTGTTTCCAGATAATATCATTGCCAACTTCACTATTCTGCTTTAATTTTTCCTTTTTGTTTGGCTTACAACTCTTTTTTTGTATCTTTGGAGAAATGCAGAAGGTAAGAAGTGAGTTGCTTTTCGCATTTTATAGTTAGGTTTACACACACAGTCATTCATTGCTGGACTGTATGTCTTTCACTGTTTTAGAAAAAGACCTCTGTTGAAGAAGAGGGTTTGAAGCATTTGTAGAAGAAGGCACATGCTCTCTGTCAACATATCAGGAACTGTCAGGATATTCAGAATAAAGTTACCTTGTGGTATAATATAAAGGGAATTATACCTGTTGGTATAACATAGAGGGAATAAAGAAGATACTCATAAGGAGTAGCTTTAAGACACAGCAATCTAAATTCCCAGTGCCCTCGTCTCTAGTGAATGGAGAGAGAATCCCAGAGGGCCATTCATACTTCTGCTCCAAATCAGCACCTTGGTGTGTCCTTGAGATTCCTGTCCTCGCTCCCTCCCCAGTCAGTCTACTTCTGACTCAGTACTTAAACTGTTTATTACAAAGCATTCCCAAAACTTCCGCTTCTGAATTTTTTTAGTTAAATTTAAGGTAAAATAGCCAGTAAAAAAAAAAAAATTACAACTAAGGATTTTTTTAATGTTTCAGGATAAATATTTCAGTGCTAGGAACATTTTTGAGCAAGAAAAACAAAATAAACAGACCATAAATAGAAATAACTGTTTTTAGTTTTCACTTAAGAAAATCTAAATAAGTAAAAAATTCACCCACTTATTATACGTTCCATATATTAGCAGTTACCTTTAACTGATTAGTCAAAATCCACAGTAACTCATAATGGAATAGAATTAACACTTCATAAATCGCATGAGAGGCTAAGATATTGATGTAATAATGCCATATTTTAAAGAAAACTTCTCTGTAAAGAAATTTTAAATGTTGTGTTCTTTATTTCAAATATTTTTTTTCTTTAAACACTTGGCAGATCATGTAGCTTTCTGTTTCACGGCTCACCGTAACTAGACTATTTAAGAGTAGAACAGACTGAGTTATTAAGTATTGGAGACTTGCCTTGCAAAATGAAAGAGAGAGTCCAGCAAGGAACAAAACCACAGCTGCAAGGAAGCTGAAGCAGAATCACAGTCCCTTAGGGGCCCACGGGTGTTCTTATTGTTTGTATATACTAGATAAAAAGGAAAGCATGGGGGTGTACAAGTAAAGAGACCTGGAGAAATTTGCTTGCTCAGTTATATCTGTATCTACTTCATTCTTTTTCTTTGTATTCTTTAAAGTTACAAGATTATGCTGAAACTTAATCAATGACCAAGAGTCAAACAATTACAAATTTAGATGTTTGGAACTTAAAAGTATTCTTAGGAGCTGAATTGTCTCATCTTCTTGAAACTTGTGACAAATATATCAGGTCTCCCACTTTACTAGTACATTTTAATTAAGAGCTATTTATAGTCAGTAGTTGGATTTAAAGATGGAGTGAATTATGTATTGTACCTTATTCATTACTTCTAATACCACTATAAAGAATGTGTATGGAAATGTTCTTTTAAACTCAATTGTAGAAAGCTTTCTGTGCATTTTATTTTCCTATACCATTGCTTGTACAGTTTTCCTGTTTATTTCCCTGAGATTGTCACACTGTTGCTTACAAGCTGCGTATCCTTATGAAAGTCCATTCTGATACGTGAAAATGCCATCGAAATGGCCCATATATTAAACAGAGCTGCAGAAAGTTTTAACTAACCATGGTGCCCAAATACAGAAAAGCATTTGTTCTCTATTATTGAAATTCACCTGACCAGAAAAATCCTATGAACATCCTTTGTTCAAACCAAGTATTTATCGCACTCTTATTTATCAAAAATTCTAACCTCTAAAAGGTTCTAAAAATTGCACATTGAGGCTGATTTATTAAGCTAATTATATATATTTTTAATATAAAATGGTGTATGACATAGTTGAAGTGACTACATTAAATGACATGGGATGAGTCCTGTAATTTCTAGGCATGTAGAATTTTTATTTTTAAAACTGGCATTTTGCCTGCCTAAAGGAATCCAGGACTGAGACAATATAAAGTTAAATCAATGTTACATTTGTTGCAGGAGAGGAAAATTGGAAATACAAGGAGCTGAAGAAGAGGGAAGAAAGCATGGACAGTAAGTTGCCTAATATACTTTAATTGGGCCTAATTCCACTAAAATACAGGTTTTCTTGTATTGTTAACACTCAGTTAATTTAGAGCTGAAAAGAACAGGTGTCCTGATCTTTGCATGAAGTTTCTGTGGTCTACCTCAGGACACGGTAATTGATATTTTAGGAGTTACAGGACAGTCACAAATATTTGGAGCATCTTTCAAGGCTTTTCATCAAGCATTAAAGGTCTTAGGAACACAGCTTTATTTTATGAAAGCAAGGCTGAAATTAATTTTAAAATTAATTTAAATAAAAGATATATAAAACCAGCTGTTCAGGTCTGATTAAAAGCAGAACTTCAAAATGGACAAGCATAGACATCACATAATTCTCTAAAATTAAGGCTTCTCACATCTGTTTATTCAAGATGAATGCTACTAAAGCTTTCTTCCATATTAAAAGGTTCTTATGGTGTAGAGACCTCAGCAGCAACTAACAGAGGATGAAAACAGAACTGTTTTTAAAATATACCCTATTGCTCGTATACTGTAGTGGGCAGCTTACAAAAAAAGTTGGTCTGTTACTCAGCAAAAGGGGAAAATGACCAATAAATATGCCATGAAGGCCAAAGTATATAATACCATTTTATAACAGTGTTCTCTAAAAATGTTCAATATAACTTATGGCTAGCATGATACTGAAAGAAAGGTCTCAGCTGACAATAAGGAAAGATGGATAAGACCGTACTTAGAGAGCTTCTGCGTTTTCAAATTACCTGATTTCCTGAGAAGCAGAAGGGCAAAAACTCACTTGATCTTGATTTTCAGTTCGAATACAGACCATGAAAGGCAGGGCCTCATGATCCTTCTGACTTTTTGAGTTTTGGTTCTGCTTCTGCACTTCATCAGAGGATATTGATGCAGTTGCAGAGCTGTTTGAGATAAACTGAGAGGTTTCGGGGAACATGCGGGAATCTTAAAGATGGGAAAAGAGCAAAAATGGTACCTGCCTTGAAGAAGGCAAGCCAGGGAAGTATAGACCAGTCAGCTTAGTACCAATTTCCAGAAAGATTGTGGAAAAAATAAGCAAGCAAACAATTTGTAAACGTTACAGAAACAGGAATACGAATAACACAGTATTGATCTGTCAAGAACAACTAATTTCCTTCTTTGACGGAAAGATATTGCAGAATAAGGGAGGAGCAACAGCTGATGTGTACTTTGTCTTCAGTACATCTACTGCTGTCTCATGGTGTTCTTAGAAGCAAGTTAGGGAAATACTGTCCATTGTTAACCTATACTGTGCATTTGATTAAAAAATTATTAATTATGAAGGATTCACTGCCAAGATGGAAGGACATATTGAGTAGAGTTTTGCAGTGTGTTGGATATTCAGATTAGTCAATATTTTTCTTAATCAGTTGGATGACAGGAGAGAGAGTAAATACATGGTTTCACAGAAAATGCTACATCAGAAAAGCTGAAATCATGTTGGAGGACAGAGTTAGAATTTAAAATACTTATGGCAGATTAGAAATGACGTACAAAAAGTTCAAAAGGGATTTAAGTTGGGCAGAGTAATCAACAGCAAAAATACGGAATAGGGAGCAGTTCATCAGGCACAGCTCTGTGGTATGGCTCAGAGTTACAGTGAAAGACAAGATGAACATGGCTCAGCAGTATCACACTAACATGGAAGAGAAAATACCACAGCAGTAGATATACATAGGAGTGTAATTTGTCAGACACATGAAGTAATCTTGTTCTCTGTGCATTGAGAAAGGCTTCAGTTGGAGTATTGTCTCCAGTTCTGTACATAAAGAAGGAGGTTGGCAGTGCTGAAGAGAGACTGATGAGGGACGCAGAAAGCACGACCTGCAAGGAAATATTAAAGAACAAGTCTTTTATTTTAGAGGATTTATGTCAGTCGTCAAATGTGTAAAAAAGCTGTTTCAAATAATAAGTGAATAATCTATCTCAGCGTATACATGCAGGATAGAAAAGGAGTAATAGAGAAATAATTCCAGAAAGATTTTGGGTTGGATATTAGAAAAAACTTTCTAACATTAAAAATCACCAGGCGTTGGAATAGATCGTTCAGAAGGATTATAGAGTATCTATCATGAGCTGTCTGTAAGAAGAGTATAGGTAAACATCTGAATTACTGACATACAGTTGTTTTTGTCCTGGAGCAAGTGAATTAATTAGGTGACCTCTTGCAGTCTCTTTCATTCAATTTTTTATAAATCTGTGAAACACATAGTGCTCAAATGAAAGAAGGTCAATCAGACAGGTGTGATGAAAAGGAGAGTTGCTTGCAGAAAGACAATGAGATGAGATGTAAATATGGACCTTACTTAATGTTTCTAAATAAATTCAAAGAAGGTTTGAAAAAAAACACCTAAAAAGGTCCAGAATGCCAAAGGAGAAAAACACTAGTCAAATCATATAGGTACAATTCTTAGGTCCTAATTCCACTGTTTTGGGCTCAGTTTTATAAGATTACATATTTGTGGATTTAAAGTGCTTTAGTTTTGTTCTCTAGTTTCATATTTTTGAATGTGCCAGAATGCTTTTCTTTCATGAAGGTGTTTTATTTCACTTCTGTGCCTTCCCTATGTATATGCCTTGGAAGACTCAATATCCTCATTGCCTACAGCTTCCTTAGAAGCAAATAAATAGGTTTATCAAGATGTTGCAATCAGCTTATTTAAGACCTCATGCTAAGATGCATCAAAGGCCATGGCATCATCTGTTGTGTTGAAAAGAAGTGGCTCAGACCCCCACAAGACACAGATGTTAATGAAGCCTTTGCTCACTATTAGAGCACTAAACAGTTAAATGTGATTGAAAGTTTTGTGTTAGCTTATCTGAGTGATTCTCTTTGTAAAAATTACCCACTTGATTTTTTAATCAAAAAAAGAAACAACAGCTCCAATGTGTTAAACACCAAACATTAAGTGAGAATTTCAATACTATTACTTTCCTTACTGCCTTTCCCTTACTTCTGTTGTGCTCAGATATTTTCTTAGTGTAGAAAATTCCTGTCTGTATTTCACAGCAACAGATGGTAGGAAATATCCAGTAAGTTCCCTTTGAGGAAGGAGCTCTTTTTGGAGCTGTCATTGTTGCTCCTCTTATTAAAGTATAATTGTGCTGTCTGTAAGCTAAAACAAGACAAGTTCATTCCAAAGGAAAACAGCATCACAGAGAGAAAATAAAGCTTCCCTTTCTAAGGGTAGCTTCATTTGCAGCCTGGGTACTGGAGAAAAGCAGACCTGGCAATGGTCTGGCAATTCAGGACTTGGGACTTGACTAGCTTTTTTCAATTGCAGGCTGTTTAAGCTTTGGTTTTAACTACATTTCTGGTTACTAGTTCACAGCAGTGTTGGCAAAAAGTAAACCTTCTTACATTCTTGCCAAGTGCTGTTCTCTACAGTTACTCGTCAGCATCAGGTGGACTGAAACTTTATTTTTGAGCCAGCTGAATCTGCATCAGAACTGGTCATTATTTTTAGCAATCAGCTGTGCACATTACGAATGTGTTGTCTAATGCCATTCATTGACCTCTAAGAATTCCAAGTGTCTTTCATCCTGAAATCTATGCCTCAGAGGTAGTTTTTGTAGTATCTTAGTATTGTCCCCTGGCTCCAATAGTGCACATTTTCCCCTCTAAAAGTTTTAGAAGCTGTGCTGTGTGAAGCATTTCTGTTAACTCTTCCATGGACAGAGTTGCAGATGATGTCAGGTATTACAATAGTTTTCTTATCCATAAATGTTTTATTAGTAAAGAAATTAAAAAATAGGTATTTTTAAAAAATCCTGGATGCTCTGGGATCCACAATTCTGTAGTCAGTCTTCATCCCTTCAGGATTTGTTAGTATTTCCGTTAAGTAGTTCCTCCTGTCTTCTTTCTCTCTTCCCAAATAATCCATCCTGAATTTACTATTATCTAATGCTTCTTGCTCAACCAAGCACTTCTCTCCTTTTTCATGCAGCTAGAAAGTTTGCAAACTCTTACTTTTTCTGAGTGCTCCTGTGTATATAAGCCATGTTTCAGGAGCAGAGCCAGCAGGAGAGGGATGCTCATAACTTATAGCCCTGGGTGGCATCTTGATGGACCTCTGACGTTCATGTGATGTCTCCAGCACATTTTTTTCAATATATCTGTCACCAGGAATACAATGTCATATGCCTAGGACACAAATACAGAGTGCATACCACCATTACAACTGTCTTGTTAGATTCAGCTGGACACTTACTAGAATGAACATAAACTAAAGATGTAGCAAAGAGACATCATGCAGAAAGAAAGAGATGGTACCAGGTGAATATTGATCTCAGGTTCTTAGCAGTGTTTGGCATTTAGTCCAGGCCATTAGAGATAGTGAAGTCACCTGTTTCCTTTATTTAGTAGCCCATTTTGATAGCTTTCAGAAAAATTAAGACCAACAGCTGCTGGGACAAGCGTTCAGAAAGGTGTCAGAAATGATAGTGACGAAACTCCTTTTCCATTGAGTGGCAACCCTCACCTAAACAGTGTCCAAGAAAGTGGTGACCTTATGTCATTATTCAGTCAAATATGTGTCTCTGGAAAAATTGTGAACTTTTTCATTCCAACCCATAAGTTGACAAGTTTCAATGACTCTACCACCTGCCTCTTAAATAAACTATTAATCTTAAAGTAATCTGTCTGAAATTGTACAGCTTATCAATTTAATACAAGGTTTTGACTGGAAATGACAAGGGCTTGTGCTGTACCCATGCAAATAGCAGCCTTCTTTATCATGTTTGTTGATCTCTAGATTTTCTTGAGACTTTTGAAGAGGTGAAGAATCAGGAATTGGAACGAAAGGCCCAAATAGAAGCCAATATTGTTGCACTCCTGGAGCACTCAAGCAGGGTAAGTGCCTTTCCCTCCTCCTGTGGCAAGCTAGGAGTTTAGAAGCACAGAACAGGAGAATGAATGGATAAAGAAGGATGGTGTTTTTTATACATTATCCACTCAGTATCTGCATAATAATCTCTTAAGAGGGTTAAACATTAAACCATGTACAGCTGTAGTTTAAAAAAAAAAAAGAAAGATCTGTTTAATTTCTTTTCATTTCTGGGGAGAGAGTTTCGAATATTAGATTATACTTGTGACGAGAATAAAAGAAATGTTTGCATAATTGCTGTAACTCGTCATCATTGCTATAATGAACATTATTCCATTCATGATAAACATTTCAGAATACTACAAATAAAACTACTGCAATATTTTGTTTACCTAAGTCTGTAAATCTCAGTTCATGGGTATTCTGTCACTAATATTAAGTAAGTGACAATATTTCAATCATCTCTCTGATCTACTAAAATTACATCTGAAATACCCTGCTGTGTAATATTTAATGTAGACACTTTAGAAATTGTTCCCATTTGCAGTCTCACTTTTTTTTGCACTTTCAAAACATTTTTTCTTCTAACATTTTTGGTTCCCATGGATCTTTTGTCTTACAAAAATCTTTCAGCTGAGTAATACTTTGATTATATCATCATTTTAATCGTCTTCTAACTCTTTCAGTGTGGTACACCGTAAGGTATATTTTAGGCAATGACACTTACTTTAGAAGAGATTGGTATGGCAACACAGTTTATACTTGCTGCATTATTGTTTAATCTTCATTGGCCTGTCAGTACATCTTTTATCAAAAGTTGACAGAATGGAAATCGTTCACATTTAAATCAATTCAGATTATTTCCACTATTTTCAGTCTTTGTAGTAGAAAAGCCAAGTAATAGACAATGTACTAGGACAGGAGAGTTTTTTTACTTGTCCAGTTACCATTTGTTATTTCAAAAGATACAGCATGTTCTCATTATTGTTATTGGTAACACACAGAATGTGAATCGTATGAAACAAATTTCATCCGTCACCAATCAAGAGCTGAAGATTATGCAGGAAGACCTCACTTTCAAATCAAATGAAATGCAGAAATCACAGAGCACTGCTAAGAACCTGATTACAGGTGAGATCAGCAATGAATTTTCAAATTCATTCCTTAAAAAAATTAAAATTACCTGAGTTGTTACACTAATAACACGTACAAGATCAGTGATCTCCAAATATTAAAATACAGTGGCAAGTTGACAAATTGAAACTGTTGTGGGTAACAAGTTATTTATATTCCTCAGGAGTATTTCACTTACTATTATCAGGAAATGATCAGCTTACTTCCACAGATATACGTTAAACAGCTGTATTTTAATACAGGACTGCAAAGTTCTTTGAGATAGAAGTTTGACTTTACTAAAATTCACCTCGAAATAAACATTTTTCACAAAATATGAAATTGAAATATTTCTTGAAATAGTGTTTAATAAACTGAAGTAGAGAATTCCACAGTTATATAGCCATGTGTTATTTGTAAATGTAGTTCTTAGTATCACTTATTTATGGTTTGTGCTTTTCTAAAGGGGCATGTACCATGGGAGAATAACAGGCAACAACAGTGAATAGCTCTCAGATTCTCAGGCTTTGATTCTGCAAAGTGAACATTCATTTTGACTTCATTTTGGAATATTCAAATACTTAAAATTAAGTATAAGAATCTGCAGTATCTTGCCTGTAATTTCAAAAAGCAGACAGTATTTTTCTTTCATTTCCGTAACAAGTATCTATTGAGTTCTTTATTTGCACTGTTTATAGTGGAATTGTTCTCATAATTCTAAGCCTTTGCCAATATCACTATTGGTTCAGCAAGCCTTTCCTTGTTTGTTTGGCTGAAAGGAAAGGGCAGGAATTAAGAACCATAAATCATTTTGTTAGAAGGCTATTACGTGCTGTACTTGGTAGTAATTTTCAAAATAGGAGCCTGTGTTGTAACTTCAGAGTAGTTATGTGCAAATAAGAAATTGTTATGCACAAAATGTTACAGAAATTGATTGTTCTGTTGTGTGTTTGAACATTCAGTGTTTGCTTGTCTGCAAATACTCATTTTGCAGTTCTAGTGTAGTTTATAAAGCTGGGCCAGACATTACAAGTTCAAATATGACTTTTTGTTCTTTCATGTAAGCATCAATTTTTATTACTTTACAATATAAGGATGTTCCAGAAGCACATAGTGATATAGAGACATTATTGAAAGACATATTTCTTTCTTTGCAAGGGGAGAGAAGGAAGTTACAGTACATAATTTTCAGCAGATCATTTAAATGATTCATAAGTAAACTTCTGAAAGCAAGGAGTCGCAGATACTGTAATAAACAACTTGAGATTCTTTAAAAAATACAGTAAATGTTCAGTTTGCACAGTTAAAGTTCTTCCTAACACTTCAATTATAGCACAGGCACCTTCAGGATTCTTTTGTTGTGATTAAAATCTGGATTTCCATATTTTCTTGCCATAACAAAGATATAAAAAGTCTACCAGCAGAACCCTTTAAAAAAAAAAAAAAAAAAAAGAAAAAGAAAAGGAAACCATGAAGAGTAAACAAAAGTGCTAATGGCATAGTTTCCCAAAAACATTTCCCTGGGTCACTGTAGTTTGGTCTGAGGGTTTGCTACTGTGTACACACTGCCTGCTAGACGCTGCAACTTCATGGCGTATCAGAAGGAACTGGGCTGCATCCTCTTCCTGTCTCTTCCCCTAGAGAAGTTCTGAGGTTTTTTAGTTTTGAGTTTTTTCATTGAGGCTGTTGCTGGATACGGATAAAATTCCAGTTTCTTCCCTTTTCTCCAGAGAAGTGTGAATGGATAGGAACAGCCCATTGCTGCCTCACCACAGTTTTTATCAGTATATAGATTGAACAGTTTAAGAACCCTTTCTGGCTTTTTGGCACTTACATTGTTATTACTCTTTACATGTAAAATAAATCCTAATTAGTCAACTATGTATTATTTTAAAATAACAAAATATAAATATTAGAACAACTATATAAAAAGCGAAAGTGCTGTGATTAGGCGTAAATAAATCCTTAAGAAAATCTAAAGTTGTTTTCTGCTATTTCTATCCAATTTGAATTATTTTTATTTTATAATCCTATTTTTTACTGTTTTTAATGTTAAAGCCCTAATTTAATGAGGTCCTTAAGCATTTGTCTGGTTTTAAACCACAGCACTGTAGGAACAAGAGAAGTTGAGCTGTGGTCTGTTCAGTCGTGTTTTAGGATCTGACATTGACCAATACCAGGAACTTCAGAGTGAAACTATAGGCAGTTATGAAATATTCTAGACACAGGGAAGGTGTTTTCTTAAGCCCTTTAGGGTGGAAGGCAGCATAAACATTGAATCACAGACATGCAATGCAGTTCCAAACTTTTTATTTTTAAACCCTTCCTTTTACTGATATGGAATTTTTTTGTATTTATATAAATGTTCTTTGCACATACAGGACCCTTTCAATCTTACCTTATGGAAGTGCGTTCCTCAGGATAATTACATATTGTACACAAAAAATCTTGGCTTGTCTTTTTCTTTATTTTGAGGTTCCTAAAGAAATCACCAAAGCAGACTGTAATAAGCCAGAAGTGTTGATTAAAGCCAACATTTCACTCTAAAAAATGAGTATATGGCATAAATACACAAAAGGACAGATGCGTACCAAAATCTTGCTATGACAGGCTTTTGATCAGGTGATATTTTCCCAAATAATTCGACGAAGGAAACCATACCCACAGTTTTGGAACTCTCCCTCTGTCACATACACACATCCACTCCCTTCTGCCACAAAGATCTATACTGCTTTGGTTAAGTTGGGGGGAAAATCTTCTACCCTTTTCGTAGGTGATCAGCACAAATCTGAGTGTGTGAGCAAAATATACAGTCTATGCTGAGAGAAGTTTCTCTGTGCTGTCTTATCCCTCCCAATAGCCCCCTTTGCCTAGTATTTTAGAATGTAGGAAAAAACCCTGCATTATTTGTATCATTCTTCTGAGTTAGACACAACTCTGAAAAATAAGATCAGGTAGCCACGTGTTTAAATGTTCAGGAACATGAAGAAAATACAAGGACAAGGCTGCAGGTCAGAAAACCATCTATCCACATCTAGTCCTTCCACACTCAGGGTGGATAACATCTCCAGAACTGGATCAAAGTATATTTTTTATTTTGTGTACCTTTATTGTGTCCTCTTTTAAGCATCTCATGTCTGAACACTTTCAGTCTTTACATCTCTCCTCATACAAGAATCCATCCATACTTGTAACTTCTTTAATTACCTATATCTCTCTTGTTTCTTTTTAATGGATTGTCGGAAGTAAATGCTGTATATTGTAGCACATGCTCATTTTGTAAGCTATGACAGTTCTTGTTCAGTGGAGATATGGAAGTGTTTTCCTATATAGAGCGAATGTTTAAAGCAGATTTGGCTATTCAGTCTCATAAAACTAAGTCTTATCATATATACAAGCAACATAAATAAAAACAACATAATGCTACAAAACTAACAAAAATAATTTAATTGCCTGCATTATTGCAGTCAACTTTTTGTAAGGTATCACCACTGCTTTAAGACTTGAAATTGACTGGTGCTATAAACAAGTTTAACAATAGAAACACCACACTGTGATATACAAAATCACCACATTTTCATTACTCTTCACTTACAGACTATAATACAGTAATTGTAATATAGGAGTCTGACTTATGGGATGATTGTGAAGATCAAATTTTTTTCTTTCATTCACATTAACATTCTCATGAATGTCAAAATCAGAACGATATTCAGGAGCTGTTTTTTATTGCTTCAGTATAGCATAAACCTTTATATACTGGGCAATGTATTATGAAATAAAAAGTACTGTTAATTAGAGATTGTGTATCTGGTGATCTAGAGAGTCAAAAGCTGCAGATGGACCTACAGAAGATGGAACTCTTGGAGGGCAAGATGGTTGATGAACTGGCTTCTCTTAAAGACAAAATTGAACAAACAAAAGCGGAGTTGGAGGTCTATAATAATTTGCCAGCTCTGAAGGCATCAGGAGAAGAGAAGAAAAAGGTAATGAAAGGAGTGAAACCTTGGATTATACAGAATTTGTGTGGTTTTGAGCACCTAGTGGAGGGGAATCCAGGTCTGCAGCTGGGAGTACTGACTGATAGCTGAAAACTGGGCGTGCGCAGCAGTGCAAATGAATCCAAATGCTTCTCTGCTTATATATGTGACTTACTAACTGGGTACATGTAGCAGGCTATCAGCTGGATACCTTTTGTTAACTTCCTTCCACAAAATTTCCCATTTATTTTAGTGATTCATCTGAACTTTTCTGCTGTAACTTATGACTACCCATAAGTTTGAATTTAGCAATCTAACCACAGAACCCAAACAAAAAAGAAAAATCTATTCTGTGTGTATTTGCTCAACAAGACAAACTCCATCTAAAGCACTTCCCATTTCATGTGTGATAAATTTCCTACAAATTCTTAACACCAGCGTTCCCACTTGTGCTGATATAGTGTAGTCTAAGCCTACAACTTGGTCATAACCATTGAATATTATCTTTAGGAGGGAGCATGCATTGCTAGAGAAAATCCTTATGAGTTCTTGGTTGAGTCACCATCCCTTGGTTGAGTCACCATCCCTGGAAGTATTTAAAAGACGTGTAGATGAGGCGCTTAAGGACATGGTTTAGTGGGCATGGTGATGTTGGGTTGACGGTTGGACTTGATGATCTTAGAGGTCTTTTCCAACCTTAATGATTCTATGATTCTATGCTTCTTTATGCATATGATCTTGTTCTGAAAGGAAGAAAAAGTAGCATCCTGAAAGCTGAATTAAAATAATTTGTCTGTAGTCCACAGCAAATGAACTCGTCCATTAATCGGTTTGTGTTGTTTTTTTTCCAACTAGAGACTCCAGGATGACAAAGAAAAATTAACAAAACGTAGCCATGCTTTCAAGACAATAATGGAACACTTGAATACAGAGTATGAGACACTAAAGAGAGAGTTGCAAGAGAATGAGACACATTCTCAGGTATAGCTCAAGCTACATATTATCTCTTCAGTTCTTTCCATCACAGTTTCGGTTTTCTCATACACATGAAGCATTGTATGGATGGAATCAGTTTATTCCTTCTCAGGGAGTTTTCAAAGTTATGTGTTGCAAATGCATAGCCATATTTTCTGTTTTCAAACAAAAGTTAATATGCCAATAAATTTCTTGTAAGCTGTGAATTTCAAAGTTAGTAGGCAGAGGTCTTTCTGAGCTTCAAAATTGTGCGAATCCTTTGTTTAAGTGTTTGTACTAATCTTGCTCAGAATTGTCCCCCTTTTGCCCTTCCTTTACTTGAGGAGTGTTGAGGACCAACTTAGAAAGAAACTACAGGGAAAAAAAGTCACTACTAATTAGATAAGATCCCTTTTGCTTTTAAAGTTATGGTGGTAAGTTTTTTCTTGCAATCTGTACTATTAATTGCATTTCCCTTTTTCCAATTCTTCTGCTCTTTGTGGACCACTGAAGTTTTAGGGTTTGTTAGACTTCTTTAAACCCAAGGAACTTTCGTATATGAGTATATTTACATTTACATTTCAAAAGTGAATCAGGAAAGATGATGTTTATAAACTCTTGAGCAGCTTTCATTCTTCCATTATAAACACCCATAAATGACTGTCATTTTGGCAAAAGGACTTTCCTGGCATGTAGGTTTGAATGCACAGAAGGAAAACGGATAACCTCAAAACAAGCTGAAAAATGGAAATTGATTCTTTTCTCTGCATTTCACTGATTTTTATTGTTTCAGGTTGTTGAGATCTTTGTCCTTTAGAACTGTTACTTTTTTCTAACTCATTTAAAAGCTGAAGGTGATATTTGTACATATTTAAGTTAACTTTCTTCTGGAGAGAACTTTATGGAGCAGATGAGAGGGTGTAGCTCTAAATGAGGACATGCACGTGTACACTCGTAGCGTATGATCATTGTGGGCTAACTCTAGGGTGACAATATAAATCCCTAAAGCTGCATGCCAAAGTCTGCAAGACTTCAGATATTGTATATTTTTTATGCCAAAATCAGATTCTTTTTCCTAGATACTATGTAAATCAGAAATGGATACCCAGCCAGTGTTAAGATACTTGCATAATGATGCTAAAAAGTTTATATAAAATAGTAGTTATACAGCATTTCTTCAGTTCATTAAGCTGTGGCAGTTCTATTTCAACGTGTGCAAAAAGGATTTGTTTCTTTGCTTTTTATGTCATGAGTGTAAATATCACAAGGGTGAATAAAGGTGTACCTTAAAATAGCTGATTAGTTGACATGCGTCAAGCATTTTGAAGTACAAATAGCGTTTACATATCTTGAGGGTTTGGGCGATTTTGCAAGCAGTCAACTGTATGAGTTGTGGCATTCAAGGAGTTACTATAAAAACGCACTGAATATTTCCTTTGGTATATACCAGACAGTATTTTAAACCTAGGCTCCTTTACTGGATGTATTGGATGTAGCAACGTCTACAAAGGGCGCAATAAAAATTATAATTGGTCACAAATATCTTATCTTGGAAATAAATGACTGCCATGTTTGCTGTGAACCAGTACGCTAGATAACTGATTCATCACTGTAAGACTTATTTTGAGTAATATAGCAACTATTTTCATATCTTATAGCTTAAGAATAAGCTTTTAAGTAAAATGTTGCAATATTTTCCTAATTTATTACCTTAGTTTCCACTGAAAGTTTAGTCTCAGAATGATTTTCAGTTTTTGCATTTAAAAATAACATATGCGTATCTTGAAATGCAGAGCCTTGAACAGTAGCATCAGAAAAACAAATATTATAAAATTGTATTGTAAGGAAGCAGCCATCGATATAATGTCCATGTTAGTTTCCTGTTGATGCTGAAAGTATTGAAGAAGTGCCAGCACTTAACCCACACTCCTACAATCTTCTTGCTGCAGCTCTGTTCTTATCACAGCTTCTGGCATCAGACAGGAAACTTAACTATGGAACTAAGGAAGTTTCTTCTGTATAGCTCGAAGTCCAAGACAGTGTCAGGAAATATTGTATCTTTGGAGATTTTAGATCTTGCTGATTTTAAGAAGAGATCATTTAAAAGATTTGAAGTATAATGAGAGTTAGTGTCTCCCTGCAGTGCTCACCTTTTTACTTCTGACTTGCTTACACATTTCCCTGTATGACAAGTCTTGAATCCTCATCTGATTTTCTTCCATCTACCACTGCAGTTGCATGCAGTGCTTTTACATAAATAGATGTATGAAGTGCTAAATTACAAACAGGTTAATCATTCGCAGCTTTAAAGATCATTTTGCCATTGTTTCTCATTTCTGTGGTTTTTTTGTGAAGTAACTTTGATCTTATCAGATGATAGAGTACAAGGTATTGATACAGCATTTTTGGGAGATTCTTTGTATAAAGTACATTTGTAATAATTATTGTTTTCATTTTTGGCTCTTTTTGTGTTTTCAGCTTACAAATTTGGAGAGGAAGTGGCAGCACCATGAGCAAAATAACTTTATGATGAAGGAATGTATCCCTTTCTTTAAGAAATACAGTAAAATTCATGCACTGTATTAATTGAGGAAGAAGTCTGTTTCCTCCAGCAGAATAAGACAGGACGGAATGGGGAGCAGGAGGCAGGGGAGGAGGGGAAAGGCGATGCTTTGCAAATGTCTGGTTACCTGATAGATATTATATATAGCAAAACTTGCATCTGATGTCTGAAACAATTTTACAGGGTCCTAAAGCATAAGATTTGTCTTGCAGTCTGGAGTTTTTCCTGTTGGGTCAGTTTTGCCATTAGGTTTCATACGAAGATCATCTTCACATCTGTCCAGTCTTATGTGAAATTATCCAGCAAGTGTAGTATTGTTCGAAAATCTGTATAGTATGGTGACTTGACAGTTTTAAAACACCATAAATATCAATGATGAAAAAGTAAACAACAAATTGTATGCATTTAATGTATTTCTTATCAAATAAAAGAGGAATTGCATATTTAGAGGGAAAAAATCAGATAAATGTGGTAAGATATGACAAGGAGATGCTTTAGCTGCAAAGTGGGCTGGGATGGGGGAACTGCATTGTAGCGCTCTCATTATGTGATGCTAATTAAAAAGTTAGATTCCACTAATCATATAAGACCTTCCAAAACATCAGCAAAGTCTTACTTGCTGCAAGTGACTTTCATAAGGTAGTTTTTGAAATTAGCAAAAGCACTGAAGTTTTTTTAATTAGAACTGATGGTTCTTCTTATCTTGTACTATTCTCCATAGTTATTGTAGAGATCTGAGTAGGGCATAGTTGCACTTCTATTTTATATTCTAGGGACTTTGAATTCACTGCAATAAATTCACTTTAAAATTATTTAGGAAACAAAAAATCTGAAATCTTAAAGGTGCATAGAATCGCTGTTATCTGATTATAGTACAAATGTAGTTGATAAAAGTAACAGCAAAACTAGACTGTATCATCCAGTGTTGTGTCTAGCATTGCTACACGTCTCAGAAAATGGCACAAGAATATATTTCAGGCCATTCTGTAATAGCCTAGCCATCAGGGGAAAAAGAAAATAACATAAGATCTGTATATAGCATTACCTTCTTCATATACCCCACATCCCATTTCTTGTACCCGATAAATGCTCTAATTCTTAGAAGAATCTGAAAAAAGTCTTGGACAACGTAATGTAATTGGAGCCACCTCCTCTATGAAGAAGGATCTACAGGAATATTTTATTAAGGCAAGAATCTTAGATCCTATTTTTTCTAACAGAAAAAACTCTAAAACAAACCAAGAGAAAAAGCTGATCAGGATATTAAAAGCACCTCCTAACTTGGTACAATGTATTACCTACCCAAGTGCAGATCCTTATACAGAGTTTTATGTCTGCGTGGGCTAGTGGAAACAAAGGTCCTGCTTTCTTGGACTGGGACTGTTGTCGCTGGACTTCTAAAGTGTCAAACTGTATGGCTGTAAATGGTTGCGTGCCTTGAAATGGTTTTGTTTGCAATGTAACAATGGGCAGAGTCTCCCACGAGGGACCTATTGCATATATATATGAAAACAAAACTGGCTCAGGCATGTAATCTCTCTTTTTTACCATGCTTGGCATGAGATGGCAGCTAGTAAATTGGTGTAAATCTTTTAGACCCGATTTCATTTTTTTCCATTATTTGCAACCCTTGACAGTTTTCACAGAAGGAAACTTACTGTATTGTGGTTCCCTTATGATCTCTAATTATGCTAATATTTATACTGGCAGTTTGTTTCCTTAACTCTTTTAATCAGTCATAGCAACAAAAAGTCAGGAGAGTGACTACCAGCCAATAATGAAGAACGTGAGAAAGCTGGTCACAGAATACAACAAAGCTCTCATAGAAGCTTTACAGAACACCAAGAACTGAACCCAGGCACTTCCTTCCTGCCCAATGGACCAACAATGAGAGATGTGCACAGGCAGCATGGAAAGCTGGACTACTGAGCTCATTCACTCACCAGTATGGCAACAGATATTCTTAAAAGTATTTTTCCAGGTTTTTTAGAAGTCACGGGTTTTAATAGTATCGCTCCTTTTGCAACATTACAAAATTTTAGAAATAAACTTCTGAATATTAGAAACTTGTAGAAATAAAAAATAAATACTGTACAATGAGTGTAAAATCATCAGAACATTTTGCTGAGGCCCATTGCTGGATTGCATCTCAAATGTGAAACTTCAGTATGCTTTACACAATGAATCTCTCATTGTCTTGTAGTCCTATCCCTGCCAAACAGAAGAGGAGTTTTCCCCAAATAAGGACTGCCTGACAGGGTCTCATATGCATTATCTTAAATGAAGTGTATAATAAGATAAATGGTAATATCAGCACACCGTCCCTGTTTAAATAGCAATTTATAACAAGTAAGGAAAACATCTGAGGATGACAAGCATCCTTTTAAGTCAGAATTGCTTCATAGTATAATGTCTTATAACAAAAGCAAATGCACTTTGGGTCTGTCAGCAAATTTTCATTTCCCAATGGAGAACTGATTAACTTCCTTTTTTTTTTTTTAATGTAATTACAAAGAAAGGACTGTGATAAAAAGTGAAACATAGCTAATACTGACCTTGTGCAGAGCATTTTACTTTTGTTGTATTCACCAATAAAGGAAATAACAGGGAAAATTATTTGTATTTTCTGCAATTTTTTGTTTCCTCAGGTTTCAATCTGCAGTGTCACATGCAGCCTCTACTTTGACAAAAATACACAGAGATTCAACATTGAACAAAACCAGACTGATACAGAAATAACAGTGTGCTTTATGATACAGAAATTTCCGAAAACATTTACATAAAACAAACTTTCCCTGTATGCATTTCCCTCACATTCTACATGTAATGTAATTATAAACTACCTATTGATAGTTTCCTCCACCTGGTATGTTGTAAGCTAGTCCTGATCAAAGAGCAAAAAGCACAGTTGACTATAGATAGGAATCTTAGCCAGACAGTAATCTAGCCTTTTACAAAAAAAAAATAAAAAACAGTGGGGTCTGGATTTATAGTTGTTCTGCACTCTTAGAAAAGTTTTCCAAAAAAGAAGTAGACTATATGCTTCATTTTATAGAACTGGAGTAGGCAAAGAATTAGAAAACACGCTGAGTCCGTTAAAATAGAAGTTCTGTATTTTTGTCACTAAATTTCTCCCAGTCTATGATTGCCATTTGGAGTATAAAGAGGTATGTAAAACAAAAATATTGAAGATTCTTGCGGAGACCACTGTGTTTCCAAATTCAGCACAGTAAATGCTGTTGCTCTGTATATTTATGCCTGTATAGTATTTAGAGATAATGGAACAGGATTTCTATAAACCAAGGACTGTTATCTAGGGGAAATTCCCACTAATGTCTCTTCCTTCCTGTCAAAGTTTCAGCTATTCCAGAGAGAGCCCATTATTTGCTGAGATAAAGTTGAAGTCTAATATTCTTACCAATCAAACCATCAGCTGGAGAGATCACCTCCTGAATTCCACTTGTGCTGCAATAACATATTTTAATGAACAATGGAAAAAAGCTGCAGACTGAATAAACAGACTGCTTTAAATTTGCTTTCACTCAGGGCAGGGGATGGTTTTATTCCTTGGTAGGGACTCTGTAAGATAGTGTGGTAAAGTTTGCAGGTTTTTGCTGTGTTCCCCAGGAGATGCCAGTCATAAAAGCCCTCTCTCCAGCATGCTGTTCTTTTCCTTGTTCTATTGAAGGATCTCCAGATGACCTGTTTCTGTCTGAGAATCTTGTCAATCATTCCTTCTTTTAACGCTTCATCCTTATGGTCCTGGATCATGGTCATAGTACCTGTGGCTGAAAAGAACTTTGAGTTCTAAATGGTGAGCTACACAGCAGGCATTTAATCTCCCTCTAGGAGACTAATAACTCATTCCCAGTAGTGAGCTGAGTAAATTGTATCCATATGTAGCTCCTAAAGTCTCAGTGAAAATAACCTTTTCTTTAACTCTTTTGATCTTTTTTTTTTTTAGTACAAGTTTAAGTACCAGACACATGGCATTTTTTCACCAAAGCTCTTGTGTGTATACCAAGACACTAATTCAGTAACACAGGTCTCTCTACCCAGGCAATCTTTTGTGCATGTTATGCTATAAATTCAAACTGAGAGGACATTAGTTAAGTGAAGTGGCAGCATCCATGGGGTGGAGAAACTTAAAACCTTTTCTGCTCACCTGTCTCACCAGGGCTGAGTAGAGGTAAGGATCACCTCCCTCAGCCTGCTGGCAATGGTCTTCTTAACACACCCCAGCATACTGTTGGCCTTTTTTGCTGTGCATTGCTGGCTCATGGTCACCTTGGTGTCCACCAGGAAGGACCCCAAGGTCCTTGTCAGCAAAGATGCTTTCCAGCCACTGAGCCTCCAGTGTGTATGGGTGCCTGGGTTGTTCCTCCCCAGGGGCAGGACTGCGCATTTACCTTTGTGGAACTGCATGAGACTCCTGTCTGCCCATTTCTTCAGCCTGTAGAGGTCCCTCTGACCAGCGGCACACCCATCTGGCACACCAGCCACGCCTCCCAGCTTTGTATCATCTGCAGACTTCTGGAGGGTGCGCTCTGACCCGCCACCATCCAGGTCATTAGCGAAAAGGTTAAACAGTATTGGCACGAGTATCCACCCTGGGGTACACCACTACTGACTGGCCTCCAGCTGGACTTTGGGCCACTGACCACACAGTTTTCAGTTCACCTCACTATCTGCTTACCTAACCCATAGTTTGTCAGATTATCTGAGGATTTTATGGGAAACCATGTCAAATGCCTTGATAATGTTGAGGTAAACAACATCCACACCTCTCCTTGCTCACTGAGTTAGTTACCTTGTTGTGGAAGGCTATCAGGTCGGTTAAGCATAATTCCCCCTTCATAAATCCATGCTATCTACTCACGATCACTTTTCCATCCTTCATGTGTCTGGAAATGGTCTCCAGCGTAAGTTGCTCCATCACTGTCTCAGGGATTGAGGTGAGGCTGACTGGCCTGTAGTTCCCTGGCTCACTCTTGCTCTTCCTTAAGATAGGAGTGACATTTGCTTTCTTTCAGTCTTCAGAAGCCTCTCCCTACCACCATGAAAAGATAATTGAGAATGGCCTCGCAACACCATCAGCCAGCTCCCTCTGCACATGCGGGTGCATCCCAACAAGCCCCATGGACATACATACGTCCAGTTTGTTTAAAAGTTCCCTAACCTGGTCCTCCTCCAGGATGATGCCACTGAGTCATTAGGATACGAGGTTTGACAGTGTCTGTCACTCCAAATCCCACGTCACTGGCACACTGCATGGAAACAAGCATTTCAGTTTCAAAATCTTCAACCAAAGGGTCTGTTATTTCTATGTTATGTTTGTGCTTTGCCTGAGGATGGGCATAGGAATGGCTGTCCTTATTCCCAGCTCATAATGGGATGACACTGCACCAACCTTATTCCCGTATTCAGGGATATCATCATATCGCCAGCCAAACTGTATTTTTGCTGCAGGCAAGAGTTAATCCTCTTGTTGGGCTTCCTGCTTCATCTTACCTTCACTGCTTTTCATTGTGATCAAAAAAACTTATTTTTCTTTCAAAAGGAGTTGATTTTTTTCCTTGCATTAATGAGCTTGGAAG